AGTAGTAGTAGTAGTAGTAGTAGTAGTAGTAGTAGTAGAACCCTTTTATTGGGAAGAAGCCATTCAAATGAGGCAAGAGTCAGGTTTCAGGGGAGTTGAGTCTAGCTTTGTGATGTGATGTCTGCTGTCATCAGATTGACTGACATCTAGGAAGGCCAAGCCCAAAGGCAGAGCAAGAGAAGGGGACAAACTAAGGGATTTTCCATGAAACATTCTTATCCCAAACAGGGCAAAAGGGTAGGGTTACAAAGGAATAGGTGAGTGTAGCTCAACCCCTCTGGGTGCTGCCTACTCCTGGGACCACACCTTGTTAGCACTGTTATCCAAGCAAGGAAAAAGACTAAGTCATGAGTCATGGCACTACCACTCCAGACTACATTGATCTTTCAGATCTGCTTGGTGCATTAGGACTTAAAGGTGCGTGCATTTGGAGTGAGTCCCCACACTGGATTATTTTATTATTTTAACCATGAATTTTACTTATTTTTCACCAGTGACATAAATCAGTTAAATAATACAAAAGCCCACTGAATGGTGGTGACCTTTGTATATTCTTAGAGCTATGGTTAAAAGTTGGAATTTCAGAATCTAGGACTGTATATTTTAAAATACCCTGTTTGTCTCCTATGCACATAGCTCAGTCTTTTCATTCAAACTTCCTCTAAAAATAATTATCAACATATTTTCATCACAGTAATGGAGCATGACTATAAAGAAAAGTCACTGATTTTTTGTCTTTCAAAATCACAGACATCAAGGAACATGTGCTCCCTCCCTATGGGGTGAAATAAGCTTATTCTAAGGATGATCCACATTGAAACCTTAGTATTCCTATTTCTGACAAAGTCTGGAGAGAGTGAATACACTTTTTCTTATTCCTAGGACAGTAACACATTTTTTAAAAATACTATTTTCAGTAGGAAATAATATTACACATACACTCTATTATTCATATGCCTATAATTTAATTTTGCCTAATTATGTGTTCCTTTTTTTGCTGTTGAACATTCTACTTACACATAAACTATTAAAGTTGATCATGTTTTAAAATCTTTCACATTACTATCAAATTTCTTTGCAAAAGAATGATACATTTTGATATTTTGTCCATCAAAGATTTTTAAATACTAATTGTGATTTTTAAAAAATTGCATTAAAATATTATTCATTTTGAAAAAAAGAATCGTATAAAATTTCCAATTTGCTCAGTACAGTATGAAATTTCAGCATTGAGTGGTAATTTTACAAAGTAATGGATAATCAGGAGTCCCAAATATCTCATTTTATTTTAATTTATATTTTTCTACCAATAACTCTGAAAATTTCCTCCCCCTCCCTCTCCCCTTCTCCTTCTCCTTCTCCTTCTTCTTTTTCGTACTGTGGATTGACTCCAGGGATATTTTATCACTGAGCTATATACCCAGCTTTTTTTATTTTTTATCTTAAGAGAGGGTCTCACTAAGTTGTTTATGGCCTCACTAAGTTGCTGAGGCTGGCCTCAGACTTGTGATCCTTGTCTTAGCCTCCCAAATTGCTGGGATTATAGGCATGCACCACTTCTCCTAGATATACTGAATATTTTTGAACATGTTTTTGGTCTATTCATATTTCTTTAATTCTGGTTCAACACTCTGTTGTCTTTTTTAAAAAATTTGGGTATTTATTTTTGAAGGGGGGCTCATTGCTTTTGTTCATATAAACTGTCATCTAGAAATCACTTTACACACTGATTTTTTAAAAATTATATGATTTACTTAAAACCTTCAAATTTTGGTGTGAAATATTACAAGGATTTAAGATGTTTCCTTAAGTACTTTCATTTCTAATACCTGAATTATCTGCCTATGCCCTACCATGGAGATGCCCTGCATTGGAGTCTGCTCATCATCCCCTTTCTTGTGAGTAGAACCTTTGGTTTCTAGCTGGGCAAATGGTAATGTGCAATGAACACCATATTTCCCATTCCTCAGATGTGGGAGGCATGCATGCCCTACCTCGGCTTCTGACCAAGGACATGTGGAGGCTGTATCCAAGGCTGCGGGGCCAAGATGTATAACATTACACAAGAAGAGTGTCTGGAAGAGTTGACCTATAATTCATCCACTCTCTTGTATGACAGGAAGTCAGGGAGTCACAAGGTAATTCCTTTTCCTACTTTCATGGAGAGAGGTGAGGACTCCTCCATGGGAGTTAAAGTCAATAGCAGTTGAGGTTATTGTGCTGGGGTGGGAGAATACATGTTGGAGGGAAAGCTCATCTTAAGCCAGCTGCTCTCTATTTTGTCAGGTGTATCTTGACTTGGCTGCACGTACACACATGCATGTGAGCACACATGTGCACACGCATAAGGCATAAGAAGAAGACCCAACAGAAATCCATTTTCTGAAATCTGACCAAAAAAAAAAAAAATTAAATAAGAAAACAGAAAAGGTACAGAGAAAATATTGTCTTGCTGACAATGTCTATGGTATTCTCCGCTCACTGTCCATTTCATAAGCTGTAAGATAACTCAACCCAATTTTTGACCAGAGAAGATTCTCGGGGTGTCCAGGCAAATATCAAGAAGGCCCAAAGAGATATATCCTGAGAACTGCTGGAAAGATAGAACACTAAATAACTTCCTTCATAAGAATGTCTAAAGAGAAAAAGAAAAAGGAAAGAAAAAAAAAGACTGGCCAAACCAAAGATATTTAAAATAAAGAATGGAAGGAAACATCTTACAACAATAAAATCTAAAATGGCACTGAAATAGGATTAAAAAAGACTAATCAGGCTGAAAATATAAAGGTTTTGTATTTGGGACTGCTGTCTGTCTCTATAAACTTACAAATAGGGTCCTGCTCAATACTTTATTTGCAATTATTTTTCTCATAATATTCATTATAAATAGGGGAGCTTCCTTATCTATCTCTAAAGGCTATATGACTAACCAGCAAATATAGCTAATATACCAACCAAGAAAATAAATAAACAAAAAATTGCTGAAAATTACTAAAACTAATCTTGATTACTGGATGCTGTTGGCTCTGTAAAATTATGTTTAAAATGGGAGTTCATAATCTGTTTGAATCAAATGTATGAAATATGATATGTCAAGAGCTTTGTAATGTTTTGAACAACTAATAATAAACAAATAAATAAATAAAATTTAGCATATTTCAATCATGTAAGATTTTAGACGTTTCCATGTTAAAGTGCATTTAAGGTGTATATTCTTTTTCCCGACAGAAATCTGTCATTAGCACCAGCTTTGTTCTAGTCAGCCATCATGATTCCAAAAAAGGAAAGGGCGGTCACACACCAGTGTAGTGGCTAAGAATGGTTACAGAGAGATTTTCATGAAGTCACTAAGCCGAACTAGATAGAAAAGGGTAAGTATGGAAGATGTTGAAAAGTATCTTATACACACAACAAGACTGCCAGAAATAATGTAGCACAACACTGTGAAAAGAGAGGAAGAAATCTCACAGTGGATACATTACAGAGGTGCCAGGAGCTAAGGGAAGACGACATATTAGGTCACAGGAATGAAGGTGGTGGCATTAGGCCAGGGGGATTCGGTTACAGGCAGATATCAGCTTATGGGTGTGCGTGTGTAGAAGTCATGTGTGAGGCTGTGTGTTACTGAGGAAGAAGGGGTAGAAAGTCAGTCTACAAGAGCACTTACGCTTGCGTAATTAAACTTGGGTCTATATATAATGAGGACTTCTGAAACTCATTCCATTAACGGCTGGCTCTTAATTAGGAATATGATAGGAAAACATATACAATGGCACCGATTAGGAAGACATAATGGAACTCCATTACAGGGCTGTGAAACGTGTGCTTCTTTCCATCCTGCTAGACCATGTTCCCTACTGTACTGTACTGCAGTACTTCATCAGTGAACAGAGGATGTGTGTAGATATTGTCCCTCTGATCAAGTGGCTTATACTAGGGCTTCAGAAATTTAAAAGGCTGATCACTTCAGATTTCTTCCATGTAATCAATGATTTGTTTTTCAAATAAAATCTGCTTACTCAAATAACTAATGTCCTGTTAACAAATTAAAGCTTTCAATTTGGTGGGTTTTGGTTTTGTTTTGTAATGGAAATGTAACTGAAGTGATTCTGCAAGCTGTATATGGGGTAAAATGGGAGTTCATAACCCACTTGAATCAAAATGTGAAATATGATATATCAAGAACTATGTAATGTTTTGAACAACCAACAATAAAAAAAAAAAAAAAAAAAAAAAAAAGATCTTGCTAGGTTGCCCAGAATGGCCTCCAATTCCTGGGCTCAAAAGATCCTTATGCCTCAGCCTCCTGAGTAGTTGGAACTATATATAAGTAGGTGCCACTGCACCAAGTCGTTTTCAATTTTGTTCACAAAAGGAGAGAGAATATTCTCCTCTTGCTTTGGGGTAAAGCCCTATCTAGAATACCTGGCACACAGCAAGTGCTCAGAATTATCACGGGTATTCCAAGTTCTACAGCTTCATTCTGAGGGAAGAGTCCCATAAGCTTGTCAGATACTCACCACAGACTGACCCTCTCACTAATCTCCTTAAATGAGGTCTCTCTGGGAGGTAGCGATATTTGCATCCAAATATACTGAGGTTTGATGTGTGGTCTCCAAAAAACCGGAGTTGGCGGTATCTCTCCCCACATCGATAACAAAAATTAGTGTTACACTGTGAACATGTCATGTGGTCACATCCTTCAGTTCTCTGGATGTGGATCTGTATTGGAGAAAGAGGCAAAGAGAAGAAAAGATTTTTAAAGTTTTTAGAAAGTAAAATCTAGCAACCTTTATTGGAACAACACAGCCTTTACCAAAGTGGAAGTGTCACATGGCATCCCTTAGGCATCCAATATACTTATAATAACACTCTGCAAGATTAATTTGTTACTAAGTACTTTTGTGTATGGAAACTTCAATAATTTTTCAGGTACTCAAGTTGTTGGCTTATTTTGATCAACCTATAAACAAACACTGCCCACAGAAGATTCATTCGTCTTTCCAGGCACACATCTAACTCAATGGACAAGAGAAAATTTAAAATGCTGTAAAAGTATTTTTATCTTTTATTTTATGCTATGACCAGCAAGAATAAGGTGACTCAGGGGGAATAAGACAGGAGAGTTTTCCTTAAAAGAAACGATTACGTAAAAATTTCTGTGAATAAATATCAAGGAGCAGAAATTTCTCTTTGCTCAAAGAAATTCTAACAAATACACATGTGTATGCAATACCCTTTCACTACCTAATATTATTTGTAAATATGTTGTTCATAGGACTGTGAAATGCCTTCTATGCAATTCAAACCTTCTCCTACTGTTGCAGTCAAGCTACGTGTAGCCACAGCTTCACCCATAATGTAACAAGGACATTATTTTTGGACAGTCCATATACTCAATGTGTAGTCACTGTTTTAAGCACTCCTCGGTGCTTAAGATCATGTTATAATCAAGATATTGATCTTTTTAGGTATAACTGGACTCTGAGTCCTCGTGGATCCTGTATCCACGGATCCTGGAGCCATCTATTATTCCAATGTTACCCACTTTTCCTGTTAGGAGAAACATCATGAAAGAAACTCTAAATATACAACAATATTATTTCATCAAAAGACACATACTTTCATTATACTGCCTAACTCTCATGAATAAAATGGGATCACCTAAAAATACAGTTTCACCATAGAGTAGCCACTTACTACATTCAAGGGCCATCTTCACTCATTAATATATATTTGCAGTGGTGGCACTGGGTTCTCATTCCATTATATAAAATGAAATATACCACACACAAAAGTCATTTGCTTAGAAATTTCATTGCAATTGTTCCCATTACCATTTTTACTACTATCAGCTTCTATCCATGATGTTGTTTTGGGATTTGTTTGTCAGTGAATATTTTAATGCAATTGGGAACTTCACCCTTCATACCAGAGTCAAAACCTCCAGGAGTTATCTGGCTCCTGTCAGTAAAGCTTAAATCCCAATCTACAACATGACACATTTCATCTGAAATTATGCTCTTTTTCCCCTAATGCACACTGCATTTCTCTGAACTAGCAGAAATGGGGTTAGAATCACATTTTTAAAAAGCTGGTCAGTGATGTTAGAGACGGGATAAAATCATCCAGGTAAAAGAGATCTCTGAAGAGAAAAAGCTAAGAGATGAAAATGATTGCTCATTTCAAAACATAACTTATTTTATAGGTGTGAGCATAAAAATTTTGGAAGTTGTTATCTCCAATCACATGCCACATTTGTTTTGTGATTAAACTGCAATTTAAAGGAATTTTAAAAGGACTCATGAGACTAAAATAACAATGGATATCAATGATAAAATTTTCATCAGAAAAATACACACACATGTGAATTTATCTATCATATCCTAATCTACCTACCAATGAGTTTCTAGGTGAATCTGAGAATTTTGAAGAATAGGTAAGTAGAGGGCAGCCTATTACAGGCAAGCACTGGACACATGGATAAATGAATGAACCACAAAAGAAAAGTCAGCGGAGTGGCCAGCAGGACCTCAGGTATCCAGAATTGTTTTGTGAATTGTAGGTTAACTGCCCGCTCTCTCCAGTGACTCTGGGCAAGTAATTCTCAGCCCCACAGGAAAGCGGAAAGAACCTGGGATTTGACTTCCAGTGGCCTGTGGGTCAGTACTAGCTCATCTAGCTACTTAAAATGAAGTCACTTACTGCCCCTGAGTCTCAGTTTTAATGATGTTCCTCTCATGAACCCATTGTTTGGCACACCCAAGTCAGATCATTATAAAGGGTTCTCATCTACCTTTATCCACCTAAACATATGAGAAATCAAATAATTAGGTAATATAACTACAGACCTCTTCCTTGCCAGGTGGTCTCTCTCCCTTTCTTGGACTGACACTGGACTAGAGTACCTGCAGATAGGCAAGGTGTTTGTGGTCAAGAGGAAATGAACATTTGCGCTCAAGGATTACAAACAAATGATTATTTTGGCAACAAAAACTACATTTCTTGCTATTGGCCACCCTATTCCTTTATAGTCATACTGATTTTTAAAAAAATTTATATGACAGTGCAGCTGTAGTGAATACAGGTTTTATGGGGCCTGAGGTTATTTAATTTCAGGAACCCTCTTTAAAGAAAAGAGTGCAATTACAAACAAAAATTTGATACAAGGCCAAAAATGGGGGCTGTGTAGGTAAGGGTCTCCAGAGCCCAAGCTTTTTAGCTTCCTAGTAAAACAGCACTTTCCTGGTTGTGCCTGTTTATTAGTGATTGTGTGTCCATATCAATTCAGCACAGTAGATGGCATGAAGGTATAACCTAGGCCAAAGTTCTACTGGACCCACCCTTCAACCTTTCATGATTCTTTAAACCATCAGGGCACTAAGAAACACATCTGAAGATAATTGCTGTGCACCTCAAACATCTTACACTCAACTTTTTGATTATATTTTGCATTTGATCTTAAAATGGAAATGATACAACTTAACAGATTTCCTCATCAGACAGCAGTGTTGTATGGAGCCTATAAAGGGAAGAGGACTGATATCTAGAGTTTATTTTGTGCCAAGCATCCTACATACAAAGATTAGCTCTTTAAACTGCACCATGAGATTGACATTCTTATTCTTAATGGGTACTCAGAAAAGTGATTTGCTGAAATAACAATCCTAGTGAGTGGAGAAAAATTTCAAATTTCTTATGCTATGCAACCTTTTATTGTGAAATTAAAGGTAAAACCAGAGGGTCAAAATAGTCTTTGCTAATCAACAGTGTAATCTTCACAGTAGAGGTTATGAGACAAATACGTCTGCTTTTCTAAGATTTTCTGCTTGTTTTTGCTGCTCTCTGGATCCACACTCTTCCTTCAAAATGGCATCAAAACTTTTTCTGATGGACAACTTGTTCTTATAAGTTAAACTTGTCACTTATAGTATATATGCCTCAAAATTTTACATGCAGTTCTGTCATTTTATATCGGTTTATAATATTGCTTCACTGAGTTCTAAAATCTTTATGTGGCCTATTTATTATTCCATTTAAATACCCAAACTGCTATTTCTATTCTCTCTTTTAAGGTTTTTCCTTAGTACTAATATTGTTATTATATTATAATATTCTGAACATAGCATGAAACTAAAATATTATTGATCTTACCACACAGGAATTGAAAAAGTAAGGTCTCATAACGATGTTCAGTAATTTTGTACACTGTAGGAATATATGGTTCTATAAAGGCAGGGATTTAATTGTGGAAAATGGTATCATGATTTACCAACTCTGAAGTACACAGTGCTTTCTTTAGTACTATTGTGGATTGAATATATCTTGATTATATATAAATATTTTATTATTTGATACCAATAGAGAAATGAACAGATATGACATCAGTTAGCATACAACAGAACACACAAATTTTTACATTTGTTAAGCAAATTGCAATTTTGAACTTCTGACACTTAGTGGGAAATAAATTTCACATGCTAAATGAGTTCCTTGGGTATGTCTTTGAGTGGCATGCTTGTAACAATGCCATCTTTGTTTTTGAAACATAAAGCTTTAAAATAGATTAAAATTATATTCACATATGGTTCATTTTTTCCCCAAAACAAAAAACATTCATCAGCTTAGCTCACTAAAAAATAAACTAATTACCCAAGTGACTACAATTCAGCATCAAAATTCTGTTTTTACTTAAAAGATGGAAATAGACTAGGCATTTCTAATTCATTAGCTTAAACTGAGTATTCACAAGCCATGGATGTTATGTGTATGTGTGTATGTGTGTGTGCTCGCTACTGGGCATTGAAACCAGGGCCTTGCTCACATCAGGCAAGTACTGTGCCACTGAGTTGCACCCCCAGCCATCCCAAATGCTACTTGATTTGTTATTACACACACATTTTCTTCACTCCATCAGGATAAGGATGGCTACTTAAAGAACTGAATACTTATGACCCAAATGTTGCTGATACCTCTGTACACTTAAAGTCATGAGATGAAATGTTCAGAATATGCCAGACATTTTTTCAGTAAGAGTCTGATATTAAGTTCATATTGTAGTAGACATAAAAAGACACAACTGTTTATTTTTGTGCCTATGATATTCTTCATCCCACAGACCAAAAACCAGTAATAAGAAATTAACCATTACACATATGAACATATATAAAATAGTACCAGTCTCCCTCAAGTTGTTTACATTTAGTTTAATAAAATGATCATATAGAATCTAAAAAATAAAAGTGGAATATAGTTTTTTTTATTTTCATAGAGATTCCACTTAATCAATGGGTGGAAGAAAATCTCTAAGGGCCCAGATCATGCATATCTTTTTCACTCCTTAATAAAGGGCCTTGCATTGGTCCCAATATACAGCATAATCTCAATTACTATTTATTAAAATAATAAATAAGCATTATCTAGGATCTCCCAACTCCAAAATTAAATGAACACACTTGTAATTTTTATTGTACTACAGCTTCCAGTATTATTTAATCAGTCAATCACCATCCTTTCCAGACCTCTGGTGGACTTGTGCTTTAGTGACATTGTTTTTCAAGGTTCTCTTCTGATCTTCCCCAGGTTGCTAGCCCTTCACCTATCCCTTATTCCCATCCACACGCATCATGTTGCACAATCTCCTTGGGTGATTGCTTCCACATTCACCTGGCTTTGACTCCCCTCCACAGGATCTTTTTTCTTTATCTCCACTATAGACCTAG